GCTGGGGGCCATAAGCAGCCTCCAGGTAACATGAATATCTGCATCATTTCTGTGGGTGAGGACTCACTTCACAGCCCAAAACACTGGAGGGAAAACAGCGGTCAGAAGCAGTGGACATTGCCCATTCTTGCCCACATGTGGCTAGGCTGTGGCTCAGCACTGATCCTGCTCCTCCTGGTCCTGGCTTACAAAGGGAGCGTTCAGGTCACGACTGACTGCTGCACAGTGGGGTGAAGTCTAAATAAAACAAGACAGAGAGGACAGGGAGAAAACCGAGGGGAGAAGGTGCATTTAGCACAGCAAGCATCTGCAAACCCCAGGTCCCATCCCTAAGCCCTGCTTGATGCTAAACCCCAATTTTGGGAGCATGTGAGCAGGAAGGGCAGCCACTAAGCCTGGCTTGGGAAGGCTCCAGAACCAGGAGGGAATTCCTGTCTGCCCAGTAACAGCACACACACTCTAACTGGTTTCACAGCTGAAAGGTAGAGGTGAAGAAAAGGCATCATGTGCTCTGTTTTAATTAAGCTGGGTTTAATTAAAGCCGAAGGAGCTTGATGGCTGCTTTTCACACAGTCTCCCCCCAGGACTGATTAGCACTCTGCAGTCTCTACTCCCAGCTTCTCACTTTAATTAATGACTCCTTGCTTATATTTTCTTTCCTACTTATCATCACTAGGGCTGGCTTTAACCCTGTAGGGGCTGGTTTGCCACACTGGAAGCTGGCATGGGGCAGAGGGAACAGGAAAGGCAAGGGCAGGACAGTGTTTTGGGACTAGTGGCCGCCACCAGCTCACCTGCAAGCTGGACATAGCTGCCCTCTGCAAAGCAACTTAGTCCTGCTGGTCGTGTGCCAATTCTGGTGCCTGGGCATCCTAATTCCCTGGCAAAGCAATGGGCTCAAGCGCTGCCCTTGTGCTCATGGGGACAGGACCTTGTACAGATGCTCTGCAAACAGCCAGGACAGCACTGCAAATGCACCTTGCAGCAAAACAGCCTTGCTGACCAGAGAGCTAACAGTGTGATGGGGTGGTCGGGGCACATAGTACTATTAGCCATAGGGAATTCTGATTATTTGCTTTTGGGGTTAGCTTCTGGTTCCTAATCCATGACCAGCCTTAGCAGGTTGCCAGCTGATTATTTTAATTCCTCTAACAACTACGTGTTTTCTTCCCCTCTCAGAGCTTTTGGGAAAGCCCAGAGGAACACTATTTGCCATGTCTCCTTTATCAAAACTGCTGGCTCTTCCACCTAGTCACCCTGTGGGCTCCTATCTGCCCCTAGGGCTGTTCTTCCACGCTGGTCAGGCACAGTGCATGAAGAAAGTATCCTCTTGCAAGAATCCTTCTGTGATGGAGGAAAAGAGATCTGTCTTGCTTAGAGAATGAGCAGAGGAAGCAGATGAAAGGGTGGGAGGTTTGCCAGAGATGCTTCATGGGGCTTCTTTAGAGGCACAGATAATTACAATGATAGATTCGGAGTCTGCTAGAAAGGCAAAGGCGGAGGAAGCATCAGAGTTCAGATGTTGGCTCAATACCCTGGAGTTTAATTATTTCAGCTGCTGAAGAGTGGAAGAGATTCTTGATGTTTGCACATACTGCAGTGTGCACTTTGCAGTCACTTGCATGAGTGAGTGGCTGCTTCAGAGAAAGGCCTTTTGCTCAGTAACATCCATGCAGCTTTGTTGGGAGGCTTTGTTGAAGGCTATTACTTCTGCTGTGGGTTTTCAGTCTTCACTTGCTTAGATGAGCCCAATCCTCAGCCTGGCTGGTTTTGGTTGCATCCTACAGCACCAGCAGTGGCTGCAAAGATGGGGGGATGCAGCTGGGTTGAGTGGCTGGTGATTCAGAACATCACTACAGAGCTGTGCTCTGAACAAGGAGGGGAAATGGAGCATATTTGGAGGCCAGACAGCAGTGAGGGGGGTCAAGGTCTGGTTAACATCATGGCCTTGAGGAGGGGAATGCACCACTGGGAAAGGACCTGGCAGGTGTGTTTGATGGAGGAAAGGAAAATGAGGAGGTTGGACTGAGTTTAATAATAAAATAAATAGCAGAGGAAAACCTGTGCTGTTGTTTTCATTGTTCATTACTGCAGCAGAAACCTCTGGGAGACACAAAAAGCTGCCACCAGCCTCAGGCCTATGGGCTGCGCAGAGAAATCTGTGGCCCAGGGTGCAAGGGCAGAGGGAAAAGCAGGGAAAAGCTACTGAGAGAGGCCAAAGACTCTATGCCAGGAGCAGCAGAAAAAACAGTGCCAGTGAACAGCTCCCAGCACAGCACAAAGCCACATTCTCCTCCTCCCCTGGAACTTTTTCTTTCCTTCTTTCCTTCCCCAGCACCCAACACTCTCTCTCGATACACAGCTGCTGAGCATGTAGCCAAGGCTTTGGCATGACCAGCTGACACACAGAAACCTGAAACTTTTCTCAGTCCAGTGCCAAACACATGACATGGCTCTGACCAGCACGGTGCTTCAAGCCTGAGCCAGGAAAGCAGAGCTGAATGTGGTGATTCCTACATAACACTTTCATGCCCCCCCCCCCCCCCCCCCCAAAGAAGAGCAGATCCCCCTTTCTCTTTCTTACCCTGTTTTATTGCTAAAGCAGCAGCAAAACTTCCTACAAGCCTGTTTGTTTTATGTGCCTCAGCTCATGGTGCCAGTCTCCTGGCTGGCTGCATTTCCCCCACCTTTCCCTTCCAAGCACACAGTCAGCAGCAGTTATGAAAAACTCCACTGTCAGGCAAGATAAAGGTCTGAAGAGCTGTCAACAACACCATCACGTGTGCTTATGCTAAAAGCCTCACTCTGAGTTCCAGCTAGGTGTAATTCCCAGTTTTGAGGAAAGCTTTGCAGGCAACATTAGCAACTAAAGCAGCTGTGGCGATAAAGAGCCACTTCAGTCACCTGCTCTTTGGGCACCTTAATGGTCTCCTCAGCAACAAGGCTGTTGAGTGCAGACATGGTGACAGACAGGTGCGCACAGACACCAAGACCAGGCTGTGAAGACAAGCAGCAGCAAGATGAGCGAAGACTGGACACAAAGCTCCTCACACAGGCACCACCCTGGAAAGTCTCTGCCCCTCCCAGATGTCCCTCCCCAACCCCTCATCCCCTTGCTACCTCTTTACTCAGAGATGTTCTATCTGGTAGGGAGCAAGGCACAAGTTCAGACACCTTCTCCCCACCAGCTCCATACTTACACAGGAATGGAGATTGGGCAAGGCTGTTCTTCCTCCTTGCAAGTTACCCCTTCTTCCAGCTCGAAGCAATCCCACCAAGATTCTCTTTCCTCGATTTCTATAGTTTCACAGCAACCAACTACATTTAAAGTTTGGCTTTCTTTCAGCAACTGCATACTTCGATCTGCAAACAGACCGGTGTTTCAATTCAAACAACTTTGTGTTGTCACTTCCAATTCCAATACTGGATCTGAAAGCAGCAGTTACCCAGTCTGGTGCTGAGCCTGAGGCCTGGAGCATACATAAAGAAAGAGGAATGAGCTGCTCTGAAAAGAAGAGAGAACCTGGCTGAGGAATCTGAAAACGTCAGCATGACTTTATTGAAGTTCAAAATACAAAAGGTCAGATTGTCTCCCACCCCCTCAGTATCCTTCCCATCCAGCATATCATAACAAAGCATCAGTACTCACAGTGACGTCTCCAGCCAAACCACAAGACCATTAGTTCTGGCCACAGCCTCCAGCACCCCACAGATGACCCCATCTAAAAGCCACGCGTATTTCTGATATCTTAGCTTTGAACACTGAGGTCCACTTAGCCTCTTCCTGGACAAGAGGCCAGATATTAGAGAACATGCTGACCTGAGTGTCTCTGAGGAATGCTCCGAACTGTGGCTGTAGCATGATTAAGCTGAATCCTACAAATAAACACTTCCAAACTAGTGATTCCCAAGCTGTGGGATGGGTATTGCTACCATACACCACGTCATTTAGGTGTGGCACACAGGCAGGAACTCAGATCGCTACTGTGACTATTTTTGTCACCCTGCTGCTATTTGCACCTTATCATCAGGATTTATGGATCCTAGCTCTAAAACAAAGCTATCTACATCTTCATTACTATCCACAGTGGGGCAGAAGCAAGAAATTAGCAAGGGCAATTCCCTGCATCCTTCATAGCTGCATCACTGCAGGCTCCCAGCAGAGGTCATAACTCGTTCCTCAAGCTGCACTTAAAAGTCCTGGAGCAGAACCTCTCCATGATGAGCAAGAAACACAGCACGGCTCAGCCCTGGGTTTGGCAGTGCTGAGAGAGCCGAAAACCCTTCTCCATCCTACCCCCATCCCAGGCTGAATACACAACACTTCCTGTCACAACTGGACCTCTTGCCATGGACCACCAGCATTAGGAAACACTAAAGTCAGTTATGGTGGGCTTTTTTGCAATATGTGGATGTCTGCTTAAAACTGCACTAGGATTAAGTCACCTCACAAACCTCATTCTTGCATCAGCACAGACCTGACCTGCTAGCTGTCTACATGGGTATTCTTTACAAGTGTTTTACTGTAGCATTTAAGCACTAACTTGCAGCAGTGATTTAAAAACAGAGGCCAGTGAAAGCTGTTAGTCTAGTGATTAAAAGCTTTGTATCCCATTTGTAACCAGACAGATTCTCTGCCTTCTGACGGCAGGCTCTGGGGAAGGTCAGGATTAAGCCTGGGTGCGTGTTTCTCAAGGCAGTGTTTGCTCAGCTGCTAGCATGCAGAATTAAGCATGTGCTCTTCTCACAGCACAAAGCCTTCTGTTGTTCAAGGCACCTGCTTTCTCCCCCATGCCACTGACTACTGTGGAGGTGGCAAAAGGTGCCTGTCCCAAGCGTTTCTGTGATGCTGGCCAGCTGCAGAGTGCACCAGACAGGGCTGGTGACCGCACATGGCATCGGCCACCACCTACATCGAGCTGAAATGCTTAGAAGGCAGAATGTCTCTGGAAGGGGTATCCTGTTCAGTGTAAGCCCATTTGATAAAAAGAAGGGCAGCTCTCAGTGCTGCAGCACTCTGTCTCTGTTGTCCAAAGCCTGCTGCATTCCCACGAGGCAGCTGTGGCAGCACCCACAGGGACAGTCTGGGTGCCAGTGGAGAGTGGATCTGGCAGGAATTGCTGCTGGCAGCAATGTTTATTCAGCGATCTGGGAAGCAAGCTTCAGCTTCCTCTTCTTCTCTCTCTAAGGCTTCTCCTGCTGCATCAGGAAGATGATGTGGAAGCCCATTACCTCTTCTCCATCTTCTGCATCTGCAGGCTGAGCGATGTGAAGCTGGCCAGGAGGTCTGTGACCTCGTCCACCTGACAGGATACAGTTAGCTGTTAGGCAGAGGAATGCAGCTGTGCAGTTGCCCATCACCACAGAAGAACCCCCCCATGCAGCAGGGATCATCCTTGCACCAGGACTTCCAGTAATGCCTATGCTGAGCTTATACTAAGACAGGATCCCTATGGTCCCATAGCCACTGTAGGAGGGCTCCTGTCCTCACAATCAAACAAGTCCTAATCTAAGGCAAGGGGGCTTCTCCCCAGTCCCCAGGGGGTCCTTAAAATAAGTGTGTTGCTGCATTACCCAGAACTCAACAGTAGTATCAGGGCCGTTTCCTCTAAGCCTGTTTCTAAGGGCTAATCTTTTGCAGGAAAAAAAAAAACAAACAACCACAAACCCAACCAAACAGCAATAAAGCAAACAGGCCCTGCAACCTTGTGTGGTTGTGCTGAACCTAGCCTTAAAATGTCTGTGTCCTTGGCCCAGGTCCTCAGCTTCTCTGCTGAGCTGCCAGGCACAGTGATGCTTTCTGCATTTTAAAATCCAACACAAAGGAGTACCACGAGTCATCACAAAACATGCCCACTTTACCCACTGAGCAAGAACACTTCCATAACCACATGTTCAATGTCACCTCTCTCATGCAGTTGCATTCTTCTTAACACAAGTCACACCACAAGTAGGTGAGTCATAGCAGCTCCACGCTGCCTACCTGCTCCTTTGTGCTTGTCCTCTGTAACCTGGAGCAGAGGTCATCCAGCTGTTCCTTTTGCTCGTGCCTCCCCAGACGGTCCAGGTATTCTCGCAACATCTGGATTATCTGAAACCAAAAAGCGTAAGAGGTAAATGTCAGACACAGCTGCACCCGCCTGGGGTGGAAAAATTACATTACATTACAGTTAAATTGCCAAGCACAGGCTTGATGCTGCTGCAGTATGTGGCAGAGAACATGAACCACAGAGAAGAACATACACAAAGGAACAGGAGAGCACTAATGGCAGCATCAGAGGTGTTGATCAGCCACAGATGAACTAGTCATGATTCCTGTGCCTGGTTTAAGAACAGGGAAGAGAGACAGATCCAGCTGAAGAAGAACAAGGTCTAGTCCTGTAAGCACCAACTCTTCTTTATGGCTAGTCAGCTTCCTTCACTGTGAAGAGCAGGGACTTCCAACTCCTTGTGTACAAAGGATAAAAGCTGTTGTGGCTCCTATGCGGCTCCTGAAGTGGGGTCCACACTTCAGGTATTTGTGAAGCAGCCCCGTGACTGCTTTCCTATCCCATGTCTTCACGTATCAGAGCAGGGCAGACTGCACTAGGAATGCAGAGTCCCTGCAGGAATGCGTACACCATGGCTACAGTCCCATGCTGTGCTCTTTCTCCAACCACAAGGCATCTGTCTTACATGGTGGCTGAAGAAAAGAGAGTGCTTCATACAGCCTGAGAATTAAGATACTCAATGCATCCTTGGCCTACCAGGGCCAAGAGATATACTGCAAAAATTCAGAGCAGCAGTTGGGAAAAAGGAAGGTCTCTGAAAACAGAAGGTGAAAGCCAAACTCTCAGAGCAGCTAAGAGCCTGCAGACAGGTGTTTAAATAAAGGCTGCGAGAGACTACCAGGCGGTGCATTGCCTTACCAGAGCATGTGACTTTCTTTTACCTGTTTCACTTCCAGGCGTACGGCCTCCAGGCTGTGGGAGAGTCCTTCCTGCAGGATGTTCAGCTTTGATTTGGCGAGGTGCAGAGGGGTTCTGCCAGCTCGATCTAAGGCATCAACTCTGGCCCCTGCAAAATGCATGCAGCAAGGATAGAAAGTGAGGTCTGTCTTCAAGACTTAGTGTCCCTGGGGAACATCGACTGGGGCAGGGCAGGAAAGGGACAGGCTGTAATTGTTATAGACGAAATGTTACCTCCGCGCAGCAGCGTGGTGATGACAGGAACGTGGTTCGTGCAGGCAGCTGGGGAGGGAAAAAACACAGGACACACAACTCAGAGGTACTAGCAAACAACAAAGGAGTTTCTGCTCAAGTGTGGAGCTTGACACTTCTCAAAGGGCTCTCTGCCATGGGAAAGAGGAACAGCCCAACTCTTCAGGGCAACCTCATGCGCAAGCCTGGGTACTCTCTCTGGAACAGATGTCACGCTCCTTGGGGCTGGCAGCGGGAGGGAAATGGATTTTCTCTACCTCTGACCCTTAAACCTTCATGAGGAGTGAAGCTAATGAAATGCAAATAGTCCCTCCTAGGTCCTTAAAGTTGGGGATGCATGCTATGATGCACAGGAAAGAGGAAGGTAGAGAGGAAAGGAACAGCAAGGCGGTGTTCACCTTACCTCTCTGCATGCAAAGCTCATCTGTGTGGCACTTACCCAAGTGTAAGGGAGTGTTTCCCAGCCCATCTCTCTGGTTTGGGTCAGCCCCATGGTCCAGAAGCAGTTGCACTGGAAACAAGGAAACAGAGCCATGTCAGTGCCTTCCCTTTGCCCTGCAGTGCCCCACATGTGCTGCAGCCCTGTCTGACCACATCTCGGAGGTGTAAAAAGACTTGTTTGGCAGCATTTGGCCATGCAAGTCTACACAGCAGCCACCAGGCTGCCTTAGGAAAGCTCATCAGCTTCCTCACAGAGACAGGGGATGTAGGTTTGCGTAGCAATGCAGAAGAAACCAGCACAAAGCCAGGTAGTGCCACTGCCACTGGACTCCCTGAGAGGAAGAACTGAGACTACAAACACCCTTCTGCACCAGTATAGCCTAAGAACTGGGAGCTGCTTTCCCCACTTCAGCAGGGAGACATAACAAGACCCAGAACTGGAGTTCAGCTGGCAACTTAGCCACAAAACACACAGAAAACAGCAATCTCTATGCTGAACTAAACTAGAGAGCACCTTTCAAAAATCTCTGCCATAGGGAAGTCGTATGACAGAACTCCCCCTCCCCACTCACCAATGTGATCGTTGCCATTGCAGGAGGCGAAGTGCAGGGCTGTCCGGCCTTTGTCGTCTGCAGCACAGGGGTCAGTTCCATCCTCCAAGAGTTGCTGCACTGACAGTGCCAAGAGGAAGAAGAAAGCAGATAAGCTGAAGGGGCACCCACTCTTCTGCAGTTAGGTACACGCTGTGCCAGCTGTCAACTGGACTTGAACCAGCTCCAGGCGGCATCCTGGCTCAGCAGAACCAGCCTAGGCAGCGTACCCTGCACCCTCTGTAACAGCCTTCACCAGCTTCCACGTACTGCCACAAAAGAGAAGCCAACAGCTGTGATGGCTAAGGCTCCCTCCAGCCAAGTATTCAAGCTCCAAGGACAATCAGCAGCAAACACCTACAGAAGAGCATCAAAAGATGGCCAAGATGCAGACTAACTCTCACAGACTTTAGTCAGCGACATCTCGGGCACTTCACAAACCAGAGTTGGCATCCTGTACTTTACTAAGCCCTTCACAGGCTTTCTCCATAGATTTGTGTGGGTGTTTTCTGCACCTGTGTAAACTTTTCACGCCAACATAGGTCCATAACAAGAAGTTTCACCGTAACCACTAGCAGCAAGAAAAGCCGACTCTTCACACCTGTTTTGAACAAGCCCCTTCCTAAATTAATTCTAAACTCCTAGTTTTTGCCATACTAACAGTGGCTACTGATTGAGAAGCAGGCAAGTGAGTGCACCAACCCACCAACACCAGTGCAGATACAACCCTAGGAGACAACATAGTGAGGTGAGCCAGTGAACAGCCCGAGTAGCCATACCATCACCTACTCACACTTGCTCTCCCTGCTTTTCCACCCAGCTACTTCTCTCATGCCACCAGTGGCACTTCTTGTAACCTGAACTGCCTCCTTTTCTCAAATAAGAGGGAAAAACCTGCTCACACAGAGACAGAGGAACAGGGACAGCTCTCCAGTATTGGGCACAACAAAGACACCAGCAGGGGCTAAAAAGGTCAGGAACATGAAAGTAGCATCTACAGCAACATGTGTAAGGGCACCCGTGAGGGCTATTGCTCCTGAGGTTTTGAGATTATCCCGATATAGCAATTGGTTTGGAAAAGAAAATTAATTCCATAGCTGTTAAAAATACTGACAAATTCACTGTATTTTGAGATATTTAATAGCATATCCACAGCAGTTAAGACTGGCCAGCATTAGAGACAAGCAACTGGATAGCTCAGACCACTGCAAGTTACCATTCTCCTCAGCTTCCAGAGATCAAATTCTAGTCACATTTTAACTCCTTCCTGTACACTTACTGCTTTGAGTGTGGTACAGAATTGAAAAGAACACTTGAAAAATGAAAGTGGCATTAATGGGGGATGTTTGATACTCCAGAAAAGAGAGTGAGACTGGCAGTGCCACCAGTGAGAACCATTAATGGGGAACGCTTTATCTAATCCTTCCTTGATGTTAGAAGGAAATGATGTAATCTTTCTCACCCAGAGCCACCACAGGAAACAGCAAAGATTTTTACTTGCTGATGAAGAATAAATTAATCATCAGGCACTTCCTTAAGTTGCAGAGTATACAAAATATGGCAGGATTAAAAAGAGAGGAACTGCGTATCAAGTACAGGTGGAAAACTCTAAGATAGAAGAAACAAAAAATTCATAAAGCCTGACTCTTTCATTCTTCCTCTTGACTTGGTGGCTGAAGCCAAGCCTTTCAGAACTGACAGAGCTCACAGGTGACTTTATCCATCAGTTCATAAACCAAAGTGTACTGTGGACTCAAAGGCTGAAACATGCTGTTCTGACCTATCAGGAGTTTCCACAAGTCAAACAAGTTCCAAATTCTGTTCACAAAATGGCACAATGAACAGTTAGGCCTGCAGAGCTGATGGGACAAACTTGCCAACAGCAGCATAGCTTAGGAGTGACAATGATAAGGGCCAAATAATACAAACCAGCATTGCTGCTGGACACGTCATTTCAAAACTCACCTAACCTACAGCATAGAGAGACACAGAAAGTCACAGATAAACCATGACCTTTCTCTGAAGTCACTAAAGAGACAGGTAAGAGAGTCCAGTGCTGGTCCTGGTTCTGATCAACTGGTTGACACTGTCTCATCATACAGGATATGGCTTGGATAGTCGTAACTTTTCCATCTCACTAAAAGACTATCTTCTTGCTGCTTACAATTAGACAAAAGTCACATGCCAAAAGAGCTGGAATAATGGTGGAGTGCAAATTTAGCTTGAGGCAGTTGGAAAACTAACACTATGATCCAGATGTAGCAGAAAAGTTAATATTATCATCAGCCTCACTCTGCTCAGAGAGTAAAACAAGGCTCCAGAAAAGCAGTTTATAGATTTGTAGCACCTAAAGCACCACATGCACAAACTGTCTCTGTCTTCCTCCTCCTCTCCTAAAACAAGGGTCATCGACAAAACCACCCTTCTAGGAAGAGGTGCCATGTAAGATTAGCAGAAGTCTTACCTGTGTCCAAGTCGTTGCTATTGGCAGCTTCACGTAGCCTTTTCAGAGCTATAGAAAAGAGAAAGCAATTACTGGAAAGCAAAGAGGAAAAAGGAACATTTTCCTTCCAAAACATCCCTTCTTGGCACTCCAGTCCAGGTGCCTGGCCCAAACCACCTGGGTGCTGGCTCAGCCCAGAGAAGGGGATGCAGGAGACCAAAATGCCAGGTAAGAAGCACCCTTCTAACCTCCTCTTGAGGCCGGCCACGGGCCCCGCACTCCCGACAGGCATCTTCCCCTGGCAGAAGCAAGGGTGCCTTCGCCTTCCTCCTTCCACACACGGGAAAGCCGAAGCTTTACCAGCTCCCCAAATCAGAGGCTCCCCGCCGC